TCTGAAAGATGAGCTCCACTCACATTCGGAACTGCAGAAAGTAACCCGCGTCCCCGCCCTCCCTCCCTTCCTACTTCTCCCGCGGCTGGCGTTCTCAGTGCGCGCCTCTCCGCTCTCTTTCCCACACAGCACCACGCCCACCCCCACTCCCCCACCGCCCGCAAACCAGACTAACAGGCCACAGCCTGACTTTTTTGATACTCTGGGAACGCGAGGCGAGGGCACCTGCTGCCTTTCAAAAAGACGCTGCTGCGAGGCCCACGCAGACGGCAGGGCCTGGGCCTTTTGTAGTTGTCAGGGGCTGCTGGGTCTTGGATCTGGTTCACGAAAAGCAGATGGGAGGAGCCATCGGCCGCGCCTTAGCACGGGGTTAGCCCCTCGGAGAGCATGCAGGTGTTGGCAGACCGGGCTCACGAGGGTGAGCGGAGGTAGCAGAGAGAATGCACCTGCTCTTTCAGGCCCTAGCACAAAAATCAAGGTGGGACCTTGAGGCAAGAGCTTTGCAAAAAGAGTGGCGGTTAAGGTGAGGACATACAGGAAAAAGGTGAGAAGTGCAATAATTAGCAATAGAAAAGAACATTAAAAACGCAATGGATAAATGCATGCAAAAGGATAGTCGTGCTTAGCTATGGTAGAGTGTGATTTTTTTAAAAGAAGTCCTTTATATAACCAACAAGTTTTTACTGAACACCTGTCACATGTGTGTCCTTGGCGCTGTTATGCCTGCATGGTCAACCTGGCTGGAAAACTCGCTGAGTTACTAGAGATCTAGCCGCTGGCCCTGCCGGGAGAGAGCAGAGAGCCAGGGGAGGTCCTACGGAGGTCCTGGCTTTGGTTTCAGTTCTGGGGCCTGTGAATCTTCAGGAAAGAGAACACCCCTAAGGAGAAAAGCAATTCTGTGAGACTTCGAGTATTTGTAGCAAGTATGAGTGACTCTGCAAATCAAGCAGTGGGGTATAGGAACTGGCGGTTTTTTCATTTTCTTCAAATTCAAATTAAAAATTTATTGAATTTAATGAGCTGTTTAAACTTTAATTAAAATTACAATTAAACCTGGCTCTGAACCCCTCTCCGATCCCCATCTGGAGAGAAATTTGTTCTAAGCTCTCACCAGTGCGTTCCTCCCTGCCTCTGACACTAGCCCGGACACCACCACCACCACCACCACCACCACCACCAGAAGGCTGAGCTGGGGCTCAGAAAAGAGGCCGGGCTTTTGGTCTTCACTTTCTGAGTTTTCCACCCACACTCTGATGCTCCTTGCCTGTGAGGGTAATAGAGGCTTTGCACGTGCCCAGAAGTCTGCAGGGAGCTTGCCCATGTGGAGCCCTGACATAGGTAGGGTCAGTCTCCAGAAAGCACCGTGGAACACCAAGTCCCTCTGGGCTGTGATTGGATGGTCCGAGGATCCAGTCCTCAATCAGCCCATGGCCTTCACTTGCTTCCTTTTCTTCTCAGCGGCCTCATGTTCTCTCCCCTCTCTCCTCTCTCAGCCTCCTCTCTTCAGTGAGATCAAGCCTCCCCAAAAGACAAGAGAAAGGTGTGCCTGGGTGACTCAGTCAGTTAAGCACCTGCCTTCAGCTAAGGTCATGATCCCAGGGTCCTAGGATCAAGCCGCATCCAGCCCTTGCATTGAGTGCCCGCCCTCTCCCTGTGCCTCCAGTCACGCTAGGGAGTCTGCTTTTCCCCCTCCCTCTGCCACTCCCCTGGCTTGTGCTCTCTCACTCTGTTAAATAAAATCTTAAAAAAAAAAAAAAAAGAAGAAGAGATAAAGCGTTCCAGTGGCTTCTATTTTCTGCTTGGAAGATGGATCAGAGAGAAATATAAAAGTCCTTACTAACTTCTTGAGGTTAGAGGGAGGAGCAGGAAGAAGAAAAATGTTGAGAAGTCAATGCAAAGTACTATCTCAATAAACCATCCTGCTCCAGATTATCAAAACGTATAGGCCAGGCAGAGAGGTCGCCGAGCGGAGGGAGCAAATGTCTGGAATCTCTGTTCTGCTTTGTGCTCCCTCTGTGGCCCTGTCTTGTGGTTTCCTCATAAGTGAAGAAGCACCCAGTCTGCAGGGGGGCCTTGGGGATCCGCCCGGTCAATATTTACACAGCACTGGGCACACTGGAAAGCCCCCTGGGCATGCATGGTTAGTGGTTGGTAGTACATCTCTAGCTCCACTGATGCAAGTGCAGGCCCTCCCTCAAAGCACACTTTCAGTGTGTTCTCCACCAGCAAGGTCTCCCTCCCACAGCCAATAAAGAGGAGAAAAGAAGGTGTGGGTTTGGACCTTTGCCTGTCTAGGTGGCTGATCCTCCTGGGAAAAGGGAATATTCTAGCTGTGAAGATGTGCCCAATGGCAGGAAATAAAGCCACCTTATGGGAAGGGCAGTGGGCTGTGCCCCTGGCAGATGGAGCTCGTCACCATCAAAGGTGTGCATTTTGCCAGTGGAAAGAGCATGGGGGCAGCAGTCTTCCCCCCACTCTCCAGCTGGATTTTGCTCTCAACTGGTTAAGTGCCATTTCCTCAGAGGTGTCCTTTCTGCCCCTGAGCTCCATTAGCTTCTCCCTGTCATTCTGTCTTAGACTTTCTTGCTCTTCATTATTAGCCTTTATTCAGTTTTTAGTGATGGATACTTTGTGTTGTTTGGTTAGTGACTTCTCTCCCAGTAGATTCTATGAAGCTCTAGAGGGCAGGGATTAAGTGTGTTTTATTGACCAAGTACAATCACTTAAGTTCAAGTTTTTAATGTGTTAAATGAGGATATTAATACTGCTTTTGCCTACCTCACTGAGCTGTGAAATTAATAAAGATAATAATGTGAAACTTCCTTGTAAATCATAAAACATGATGCATATATTAACTACATTCAATGCCATGTGTATTTGAATGCACATCACGAGCTGAGCAATGGTGCAATGGGCTCCTAGCTAGGGGAGCATTTTGTTAAATGAGATACTAAAGGAAAGTGCTTGGGACAGGATGTACCCCGTGATACCTCTCATTGTCAGAAGTCAAAGATGGCAGCCCCAGCCTCTAAAAATATCGTATTCATGTAGTCCATCCATAGTGGGCATGAAATAGTTAACTAGGGGTGCACCCGGCGCTGGAGACGTGTAAACACGTGTGACAGTGAGTAACCTAGAGCCAGTCAATTCTGTATACTTCGGTGGAGGAGGGGGCTCACGAGTTAGTGCTCAACCAAGATGTTCCTTTCCTCCCAAGAGGCAAGGATGCTGAGTATGACACCTTCCCCTCCCCAGTGCAGAGACATTACAGACAGAGCGAAGAACTTCCAGAAAAATGGCGGCTGCCACCAGCATTTCACAGAGTGAATGGGAGAAGCCTGAATCTCCTAAGTTCAAAGCCTCCACAGATGTAGGCAGCATCACTTTCAGAACGAGGGGGCGCAGGAAGGATGGAGTTGACCAGTACTCTGGTCCTTGGCTGGGGTTCCTCTGCTTCGGATGGACGAGCCAGGAGATGAGAAACAATCTATCCTGATGGCCAGTGCACAACATGAGTCCCTGAGGTTGGGAACCCAAAGATCAAACAGTGTTACACCGGAGAGGTTAAAGAAATAGATCAGAGTGGACCAGGACAAATACGTTTTCCTTTACTGGGTGGTTCTGAGGTTTTGTCCTATTTCTTAGGAAGGGGTAAAAATTGGCCTCACAACCGCACTGGGTATTCCTTGGTGTTTTGGTGTGATTATAATTATGGTTTAATTGACTACTTAGTAATCGGCATAGAGTTTGTTTGCACCTTATGGAATCCCTGGCTCTCTGAGGAGCTCAGATTCCCCAATGTTGGCAGAGAGCCTAGATTTTCCCCAGACCCTTGGTACTAGGCTTTACTTACCGTGTCTTCATATAGCTGGGACTGCTCCAACGAAACCCAGGAGAGGTGAGGTAACAGGAAGAGATGGGATGCGTAAAGGGGCAAAGAGAATAGAAATAGGCTCTAAGATGGGGGCAGGAAGGTAGACCAGACACAGGATCCACAATGAGACAAAGCCCCAGTGCAGATGCATGTCAAGATGCATAAGCAAAGACCAAGGCTGAGAAAGTGGGAAGAAGGAAGTTCACACACATAGACACGCGAACCCCGGAGGAGATGGGCTTATGGCCACACACGCCAGAGAGGTGAGATTTAGGAGGAGGGGTACAGACCTGTAATAAATGGTTTTCTTCCCCCCAATCTTAATTTGTTAATGACCGCCACTAGCACTTGTTTTGTCTTAGCTCAGAGAGACTGGGGTGAACTTTACTTCTGCTGTGGTGGGACTGTGGCCACAGAAAGAACTTCTCTCAGGCCAGATACTCTAGGAATCCACCCCATTCCGCCTCCATTTCTTCCAGTCATAAGCCAGCTGATGTGAGAGATGTGACTTGAGGGAGCTAAGTGCAGGGCACTGTGGGGGCATCTGAGGGAGAATCTGGAGATGGAGGGAGTCAGGGAAGGCCTTTGGAACCCCATTATTGCTGTGGAGGGAGAACCCCAGACTTTGGGGCTGGGGACAGAGAGCAGGCCGGCATTCTGTGCTGTGGGGCTGGGAGGGCCTGGGGCAGGGCAAGCCTTGAGTGAGTGGGGAGGCTGAGTCAGGTGAAGAAGGTTAATGGGGCCAGCGGCACCATTTTTTACCGAAGGGCAGACTCTGATCTCTGGGAACTGGCAGAACAGTTGCTCAAAGAAAAGTTACCACCTGACCTATCCTCCTTAGTCCTGGAGGAGAGTGCTCACCCCCTCATGACACAGTCCACGCCCCTGTGAAGGTAAATATGAGGCGAGTCGCAGGAAAGAAAACAGGGTATTAAAGCAGATCCCTGAGAGCCAAAGCAGAGGCTGAGAGTGTGAGCCCAAAGTCAGTGGCCTGGGAGGTGGAGGCGTGTGTGTGTGTGTGTGTGTGTGTGTGTGTGTGTGTGTGTCCTGCTGAGGAGACACAGGGGCCCTTTGTGCGGGGCCTGAGCTGCCTCCTATGTCCCCGTGCTGTCGGCTCCTGGGGAACATGCCGGGGCTCCTCCTTTCCACGCTGCTGGGCGCTGCTCTGGTGCAGGTAAGCTCCCTCTCCTTCTGCTTCCCCTTGGGAGGCTGCAGCGGTTCCTATTTCTTCAGGTCAGAAATGAAAAGAGAAGAAGATGGAGGAATTGAGGGAGGGGGGAGGTGGTGCAGGATAAATTCCTTGTGGAAAGACTTCATGCCAAACGGGGAGCCATTTTCCTCTCCAAGGAAAGTTGGGTTTTAGTTATTAGCTTCAGGAAAGAAGTGGAAAACATTTCTCCCTCTCAGGTAATGGCACTAAATCCCACTTTCGATACATTTGAACAGCTCCCAAACTTCAATAAATGTGTATTTTAAGTGGAGTAGGACACACACCACGGATCTGGGAGAAGGCAGCCCCGCCTGGGGGCAGTGGGGAAAATGGTGCCTCTTCATTTGGGCCCCAGGCTGGAGCTCAGCTTTCCAGGGCTGTGTGCAGAACGTGCAGAGAGCCACTGGAAAAAATGATCCTGACAACTTTCTTCAATTAAGCCTGTCCTTGTTGGAGAGGAGCACTCTGGAAACACGTTTATATTTTTCAAACATTTTGTTACTTCGTCTTTTCCCAACTCATGTGTTTCTCACTTTTCATGAAAGGGAACCAGTCCATGAAGACTTTGAAATAGTTTAAGCCACAGACCAAAGGAAGGTTAATTTAGTAGGAGCAATTCATTGCCTTAGTATTTTTTACCAAGAAGATGAAAACAGGGTGACTTATTTATGGATTTATGTACACGGCAGAGGTTATTGCTTGCATAGAGGATAGAGCTTTTGAAACCTTCTGGTGATTTGGAAACCATGGGACGTGTCTTTGAGTTAATAGTTGATTAGGGCAGTAAATTGTATTTTGGGAAATAAGAGGTTGAAATTTGTTATATTTTATACGGAGAGATCTAAGATTATAAAAGAATCCTAGCAAGAATGCGGGTGGTACAGTTTATTTCCAGTGTTAGGTGGAGCGTGCATTTCCCCAGTGGGGCAGCCTATCTCCCACTCCACCCTTCTTGAGAAAAATCCTATCATTGTTGTGAATGGAGAGCCTATAAGGTATTCCTAAATAGTAAATATTCCATTATAGAGAGATGTGTCCAAAATTTAAAAAAAAACCAAACATAAAAAGGTGTTAAAATGCAGAAATGAGATAGTATTATTTTGCTTACTTTTGCCATTATGAAGTTTTAAGGAAGAATACCTACCATTTGTTGAACATCTGCCACGTGCCAAACACTGTGTTAGGTACTTTAGTTGTTATCTTAATCCTCAAAATAACCGTATAAGGTGGATGTTATTAATCCCATTTTACAGAGGAGGATTGAGGCTCAAAGATCAAATATATGATAAAAAGTCATCTAAGATCACTCTATATATAGAGAGAACTATACCAAAGCTCAGCTTTGGTGTCAAAACCCTTTCTTTCTGTTACGCCAAAAGAGCCCTTTTGGGTGTACCAAAAGAATTCTGTTTCATTTCTTTTCCATTCCACCAAAGGAGTTTACCGACTCTTGTTGTTTTGAGATTTTGATTTTGAAAACAGTCAAAAATGTCTGAAAAAACATGTAACTTTTAATTTTCCCACTATTAGCCATTTCTGGGACTCTTCATTTTTGTATTTCTGAATTACTATCTATTACAGTTTTCCTTGAGACAGATCTTCCTTTCACCTCTCTTGTGAAGCAGGTATATGCTAGCAACAATTTTCTCAGTTTTTGTTTGACTGGAAATGCCTTTAATTTCACTTTCACTTTTGAAAGATAGTTTCACTGGAGATAGAATTCCAGGTTGACAACCCCCCACCCCCATCCCCCTTTTAGCACTGGGTCTTGTTCTCTTCCTCCTCCTTTTTAAAAAAAAGACTTATTTCTTTTTTTTTTTTTTAAGTAGCTTTAAGATCATGGCAAATTTGAGGGACGCCTGGGTGGTGCAGTTGGTTAAGATTCCAACTCTTGGTTTCGGCTTAGGTTATGATCTCGGCGTCTTTTCTCGTTCTGTTTTCAAAACTTTCTCTTTACCTTTGGTTTTCTGCAATGTTACCTTGTGGCCTCAGAGATTCTATAGAAATACTTCCAGACTGGAAAGAAAAACATGTGTCCCCAGGTGGGCAGTTTTGAGAGTAGCCTTCTCCTTAAGAGGAAGCAATATGAGGAAAAGCATGGGGGGAGGAAACGGACCTGGTGGGTCTAGCAAGTAGCAAGATGCAAAGGAGAGTGAATTGAGAGTGAAGGCTGGGGAGGAAGGCATAAACCAGCACAGGCTTTAGACAGCATGCTTATAATTTCGGACCACATAGTGTACCCAGTAGGGAAGTCATTCTTGAGGAAGCAAAACCAATTAAGAGTGTACTGCTGTCATCCTCAGTAGCAGTCTCAATGGCGAAAGAGTGACTAGTTCTCAGGATATGAGGACACCAAGCATCAGTCACTGAATGTCTATGGTAAGTGAGGAAGAGGAAAATGACCAGGATGACTCCTGGCTTCCTAACGCCAAACTTTGGAGAAGCTGTCTAAAAGGCAGAGGTTTGTGAGAGATGATGAGTTTGGGGGAAATGAGTTTTTCCCATGGGACATTCTAGTGACAACGTCGGTTGGTAGCCAGCCATATGGCCCTAGAGCTCAGTGGAAAAATCCTGGATGGAAATTTAGTTTTGAAGCTTGCATGAGATGGAAATTGAAGGCAAGGGAGGTGGACAAGATTGCTAAGAGACAGTGGGCAGAGTGAGAGAAGCAATACATTGAGGTCACAAAACACCAATTAGTCTAAATGTAAGAAATATTTGGGGAAAGAGGAATCTGCAAAAGAGATTGAGAGCGTATGTTGAGAATAAGGGCAGAATTGGGATGCTCTGGTATCATGAAAGCCAGGGGAGCAGAAGAGATTAAGAGTCAAATGCCTCAGAGAAGGGGACAAGGGGCAGCCTAGAGACTCCATGAACACAAGCCTAGCTGAGTGGCCACTCAACTTTGCAGGGAGGCCCTGCTAACCATGGCTGAATCTGGAAAAACTGAGAAGTAGACACTATTTCTACTCCCTTCTCCACTCTTGTATTTCCGTCCCCCTCTTCCTTCTCCAGACTCTCAGCACTGTTTCCTCAAACTCCAACCTCACATTGTATCTTCCACTTGAATTGTAGCTGAAAGTGTTTCTCTGCGGGGTTTTTACCAGTGATAATGCAAAGGGCTGAGGGCGGATGGTGGGATTGCAAACTGATGTTTTTAGAGGTAGGATTTTTGAGTTGGAAGGAGGTTTAGACCTCTGGATCAGTGCAACGGCCTCCAGTCTATCAAATAAAAATTGAAAGTTAATTATATAACTTACTTGCCAGGCACTGTGCTAGGTGCCAATAGTATACCCACAAAAGAGCCCCAAGTTCTGGCTGGGTAACTGTCAGCCCGTAGAGAAGACAAGCTCTTACACAGATAATTTCAGTACGAGGGCATGTAAAAGGGAGGCAGGAGAGGTTGTAAAAAGTTTTCTGGAAAAGATGATGCCTAAACAGAACCAGGTGAAGGAGTGGGAGTAGGAGAAGTATGTTCAAGGCGAAAGGAACAGCATCGGATATGCAGGTAACTGCAGACCCTTGAACTTGCTAGAACCTGAGGCAGGCAAGAGATGAGGAGGGCCCTCAATGCTATGCTTAGGAGTTTGGACTTTGCTGTAAGTCGGTGACTTACAGGTGTCAGGGATGAAGGAGAGGAGCAGGTGAGGTTGGTTTTCAGCTTCCTGGCTTGGGGAACCCAGTGGCTGGCATCACCATTCACTAAAATGGGGACTACTAGTTGAGGAGCGTTCTGTTGGGGGGAAGGAGAAAATGAGATGCTCACTGGCATCGAAGTGGATATACCCAGTGGAAATTCACGAGTTGCAAGCTTAGGGAGAGAGGTCTAGGCTGGAGAGGGGAGACAGATGCAGAGATTAGGTGGCTTGTTCAGGATCAAAGCTGGTTTGTGGCAGGACCTGGACTAGGGAAGGAAGGAAGGTAAGGGTTGAGAGCTCAGGCTCTGAAATCTGCCTGCCTTGTTTAAATCCTTTTCCTACCACTTGATGTGTATGATCTAGGACAGGTTACATAATCTGAGTTTCAGTGTCTCATTTATAGAATGGCTACTATAACCAACCACCACAAACTCAGGGGCGGAAAACAACACATATTTATTATCTTATAGTTATGGACATCTGTAGTCTGAAAATGGGTCTTAGGGGGCTAAATCAAGTATTGGGCAGGTCTGTGTTCCTTCTGGAGGGTCTAGGGGAGAATCTGTTCTTTGCCTTTTGCAGCTTTTAAAGGTGCCTTCACTCCTGGCTTATGACTACTTTTCAGCTGTGATGTCACTCCTGTCTCTGCTTCTATCATCCTATCTTCTCTGGCATTCCTGCCTCTCTCTTTTTTTTTTTTTTTTGAGAGAATGAGAGAGAGAGAGAGAGAGCACACAAGAGTAGGATGGAGTGGAGGGAGGATCATGACCTGAGCAGAAATCAAGAGTTGGATGCTTGAAAAAATGCTCAATATCACTCAATATCAATATCAGGGAAATACAAATCAAAACCACAGTGAGATACCACATCATGCCGGTCAGAATGGCTAAAATTAATAAGTCAGGAAATGACAGATATTGGCAAGGATGTGGAGAAAGGGGAAACCTCTTACACTGTTGGTGGGAATGCAAGCTGGTGCAGCTGCTTTGGAAAACAGTATGGATTGCTCGCTTCGGCAGCACATATACTAAAATCGGAACGATACAGAGAAGATTAGCATGGCCCCTGCGCAAGGATGACACGCAAATTCGTGAAGCGTTCCATATTTTTAAAAAAATAAAAAAAAAAAAGAAAACAGTATGGAGGTTCCTCAAGAAGTTAAAAAGAGAGCTACCCTATGACCTAGCAATTGCACTACTAGGTATTTATCCCAAAGACACAAATATAGTGATCTGAAGGGGCATGTGCACCCCAATGTTTATAGCAGCAATGTCCACAATAGCCAAACTGTGGAAAGAGCACAGATGTCCCTCGATAGATGAGTGGATAAAGAAGATGTGGTCCATATATACAATGGAATATTACTCAGCCATCAAAAAAAAAAAAAAAAAAAAAAAAGAAATCTTGCCATTTGCAATGACCTGGATGGAACTAGAGGGTATTATGCTAAGTGAGATAAGTCAATCAGAGAATGACAATTAAGTGACTTCACTCACATGTGGGATTTAAGAAACAAAACAAAGGAGGATGGGGGAAGGGAGGGAAAAAATAAAACATGACGAAATCAGAGAGGGAGAAAAACCATAAGAGACTCTAAATCACAGAAACAAACTGAGGATTGTGAGAGAGGAGGGGGTAACGGGGTGATGGGCATTAAGGAGGGCACATGATGTAATGAACTGGGTGTTATATATAACTGATGAATTAGTGAACTCTACCTCTGAAACTAATAATACACTATATGTTAATTTCTTGAATTTAAAAAAAAAAGTCAGATGCTCAAATGACTGAGCCGCCCAGGCGCCCCCTGCCTGTTTCCCTTTTAAGGATGCTTGTGGTTACATTGGGCCTACCTGGTTAATCTAGGATAATCTCATCTGAAGATTCTTAACTACTTCTGCGAAATCCCCTTTGCTATGTAAGGTAACATGTTAATAGATTCCAGGGAATGGAACACAGATATCTTTGAAGGGAGAATTACTATGCCCATCCTAGGTGGATAATAACTGCTCCCCACTGTTCTTACGAGGGGTCAGTGATGTAATCATATAAGGCACCTGGTATACAGGAGGTCCCATGTTCTTTCATTCAATATATTTTATTACAGACAATAACACAGATAGCAGCAAAGTGTTTACCCCTCAAAAAGCTCACATTCTTGATGCATGCTTCAGAAAATAAATGTACAGAACATGCAGGAATAAGATAGGTGGTAAGAAGGTCTATGGCGAAAAGGCCGTGCAGGGTGGTGTTTTATAAAGGGTGGTTACTGATAAATGTAAGCACAGATCCAAGCAAGTGGAAGAGTGAGAGATGAAGCTACCTGGGGGAGGAGCAGGCTTGGAGTGTTCAAAGAATGACGTGGGTGTGGAGTGGAATGGAGCAAGCCAGTGGTGAGTGACAGCGGGCAAAGGAAGGTAGGAGATGGGGACCCAATGTTGCAGGGCCTTAGAGGGTAGTTTGGCTTTTTTTTTTTTTTTTAAGATTTTATGTATTTGAGAGAGACAGAGAAAGAGCACAAGCATGAGCAGGGAGTGGGGCAGAGGGAGAGGGAACACAATGCAGGACTCGATCCTAGGACCCTGGGATCATAACCCGAGCTGAAGGCCGACGCTTAACTGACTGCGCCTGGTAGTTTGGCTTTTACGTTGAAATGGGAAGCCATGAGGAAGCCACCTCTTCTGAGCAAGGAGTGACATGAATTAAAGTATGGTTGTAAAAGGATATACATATTTATTGTATACCATTTGATAAGCTCTGGGATAAGTACATACTCATAAAACTATCATCACTCTCAAAGCCATAACCATATCTATCCCCCCCCCAAAGTTTCCTCCTGTCCCCTTTATTGTTGTTTGTGTGTGCTAAGAACATTTAACATAAGATCTATTCTCTTAGCAAAATTTAAGTATATAACAGGGTACTGTTAGCTATAGGCGCTCTAGTTTATTTTATTTGAACCATTCTACCAAGTGGAGGATATTGAGGACAAAGGGGGAAGCGAGGAGAACATTTAGGAGACGATTATAATTATCTAAAGTGAGAAATAACTGTGGCTTGGATCACTAGGATAGCAGTGGGGGTATTCAGAAATGATTAGATGTCACCAGTGATTGAAGATGTCACCAACAGGATTTACTGAAGGGATGGGACCTGGGATGTGAGAGGGGAAGTCAAGAGGGACCCGACCCCAAGGTATTCTGAAAAAATGAAATTGGCGTGTGCTCAAGCGAGGGTGTGCAGAAGATCGGCAGGGAAACTCGGGAGTTTGCTTTGGTCCCGTTGAGCTTGCTAAGTCCATCCCATCTCCACGGGGAGGTCTGGCAGGTTGTGGCTGATTCTGGAAGGGAGGTGTGGCGGGAGATAGAGCGAGGGGAGAGCCTCGAGAGGCCTCCACCACAGAGGGCTCCAATTAGGGATGAAGAAGGTGCGAAGAACCCAGCAAAGCACCCGGAGAAGGAGCCATCGGTGAGGAGGGAGGAGGAAGTGATGCGCTGGGAGCTCAGCGGAGAAAAAGGTTCAAGGAACGAGGGTCGGATCAGATAGATATTCTCACAGCTCACCACCCCCTATCCTACGGGTTTAGAGGAAGGCTTCTATTCCCAGAACTCTCTGAACGCAGTGTGAGGAACCTAACGGCTCCTGTGTTACCCCCTGCAGTTCTGCGGCCAGGCGCAGGGGCGCGCGCCATTGGCCGCGGCGCCGGAAGCCAGTCCCGGAGGAGAACTAGGAGAACCGGAAGTGCAGCCGCGCAGACAGTTCTGTCACTGGCCCTGTAAATGCCCCCGTGCGCAGCCCAGCTGCCCTCCGGGAGTGAGCCTGCTGAGGGACGGCTGCGGGTGCTGTAAGATTTGTGCCAAGCAACCGGGGGACATCTGCAATGAAGCCGACCTCTGTGACCCCCACAAAGGGCTCTACTGTGACTACTCAGCCGACAGGCCTCGCTTCGAGACCGGCGTGTGCGCGCGTAAGTGTCTCCCGCTGGGACCTCGGGCGACGCTCGCGTCTGTCTGGGCGCCAGGTCTCCCCCAGTTAATGGCTCTTGTGGGATAATCCGCGGAGTTCGGCCACGGGTGGGGCCGGTTTTGACGTCGTGGACAACACGTGACACCGGCGATGTTTACACGTGGTCAGAACCCCCTGCTGTTTTTGTTGCACCTAGTGATCTCTAGTTATTTTCAGGTGATTGCTTTCGGTGAGAAAAAGAGCTAAGATGATGTAAGGAGGAGCAGACTTCTTCAGGCGCCACACAGTGGCTGCTTTTGTCCCTGCGGTCGAATGCTGTCAATTTAGCCTTCTCTGGAACTAAAAAGGAATCTCGCTTCAAGTGTAAGGATGTGCATCTAGTGTGCAGACGTACTGAATTCACCTCCAGATAACCAGCAAGTCACTGTTCTTTTCAGATGAAGCAGATGTGTAAAAAGGAAGGTACGGGTACCCCAAATCACAGCCTGACCCTCAGCTTGAGGGGTATTAGCTCTGGAGACTGATTGAGACCCTCTAAATTGACACCTCGAGGATAATTCAGGATCCTGATTTACCTGGGATTAAAAATTAAGATTTCCAAGAGAAGAGAAACACCCGTGTCAGCTGGGCATTTGAGTCAGTCCATAGGAAAGATTGCCCATTGTATGGGCAGGCAGATTACTCCCGAAGTCTGGGTGTGAGCCTGGACTGAATGTGTAGAGCTGTTCAGGTTTGATAGCCTGACACCCCTGTTTAGTGCTGACTAAACTATATTGATTAAGAAAGTAGGCGCTGGGTTCCAGTTCTGGGCTTCATATGCTGAGTGATCTTGAGGTCAAGTTGCTTAACTCTCTGTGCCTCAGCTTCGTCATATATATTTCCTACCGAACAGAAATTCCAGGAGGAGCAAATGAAATAGATACAAAACCCCAAACACCTAGCAGAATATCTGGTCGGCGGTAGACTCCTAAAAATGTTAGCTATTATTTATGGAAATTTAACAGGGAAAACATATCCTATCAGACTCTGGCATCATGATACCCCTTTCTCCCAAACGGTGCTGGGCAAGTTATTTCATTAACCTAACAAACACGTAGTGAGCAGCCACTACCATGCTAGGCATTGGGACCAGCAGCTGGGGACACAAGAAAGAAAGAAAGAAAAAAATATATATATATATGTCCTGCCCTCACAGAGTCAAAGTTTATTGTGTCAGATCTTTCCATATGTGATGTCACATACAATGTGGTAAGTATTTTAACAGAGCATAGCCATGAGGATGGGGATGGGGATGACCTCTAACTGGGGTCACAAACTATGGCCCAGGGGCCAAATCATTTTTGGAAGTAGCATTTTATTGGAGGAGAGCCACACCATCCAATTACATGGGCTATGGCAGCTTAATGGTATAGAGCCCAGTAGCTGTGACAAAACCCCAGTGGTCTATAAATGCTAAGATATTTACTGTTTGGCTCTTTATAGAACATTTGCTGATCCATGATATAGAACGATGATTTTTAAACTTTGGTCTGAGGACCCCTTTAGTCTTAGAAATTAATAAAGACCCCAAGAGCTTTTGTTAATGTGAGTTTTCTGTATTGGTATTTAAATGGATTAGGGATTTAAAAATACTTACTAATTCAGGGAATCCAGCCTGACACAGATAGGTCAGGAAAAGGCAGGGGTATTTTAACAGAATTTTCAGATAATTGTGAATATTTTCTTTGATATTCTTTTGAATATTCTCTTTGATAAACTTGAGGAGTGGTAGTTTCTTGGAAATTAGCTGCATCATGGAATCTGAAACCATATCAGTGAATTTGTCGAACTCTGTGACAATAAAATGTATTGGTCTATCCAAGATCTACTTGGAATGGGTGTTTTACTTATATCTAATTTTGTAATATCATGCATCGTTTATTTGGAAAATGCTAGTTTGGAACAGTGGTTATATAGATATTCCAAATATTGATATACTTAATTATACAATATTTTAAAATATCACATTAATGAATACTAATCTTATCAGAAAAGTCTGCATACTGGGTAGATATAAAGATCTCAGTGGTGGATACATGTTTTCCAAAATTCTAATTTTTGCTTGAAAGCCTGAATTCTGTCATCGGCCAGAAAGTTGTTTTCCTTGAAGTGACAGGCTCACTGTTGATTTTCAAGGAAATGTCTGCCAAATACCTGAGTAATCCTGGTTTCTCTGTCAGTCATTTCTTTAGGTGAAATTCCTAATGAAAATGTGGTTGTTTCAGCCCCAACCTCAGACAATAGATTAGTTGCTTCTCAAGAAGAATATCTACAGAAATGCTCTGTGGATACCTTCTATTTTGTCACACAGGATATTTAAAAGACATATATTTGATGGTTAAAATTTAATAAAGTTAGTAATTTTTACTGTGCTGTCAGGACATTATTAAGTAAAACTAGCTTTTTTTTTTTTTCCCCAAAAGTACATTTATGGATAAGTGCATTGACAAGGTAACTACAGTGACTAACCTGTGTAATCAGCTTCATGCTAAGGTTCCAGCTTTTGTACCTTAGTGCAAATATCCACACAGTGAAAACAGCCAGGCACCTCTTGGTATTCTGGAAAAGAGTTTTGGCCTCACAGATTCTCATGAAAGGGCTTCAGTATTGCCAAGAGGTCAGAGGGGTCATACTTTTGAGAACTGTTGATCCAGGTCAAGAATGCCTCTCAGAGCAGTGAAAGTTTCCTCCAATTCTCTTAATGAAAAAAGAATTAGTTACTGTGCGGCACTGTACTTAAACAAATTATGTTTGTACTTAAATTATGTATGTACATAAACAAATTCTTTTCAGCCATTCATGTAGCCTCATTTCTTACGAATATATCCCTGCCTATTGTTGGACATCTAGCAAAACCTCTTTTACCTTCCACCAATCCATCTCTCAGAATCATTAACTCACTGCCATCCTCACAGTGAAAGAACAGGGCCTGTGCTTGGTCATAATTCTGAAAGTGACCAATTGGGGCTGATAGTCTACAATAAAATGAAAATGTCTAATTTTCACCTTTTACAGATGTTTTGGAAAGGAGGTCCAGATAGGGCCTAAGAAATTGAGAACGTGACCTCATGAAGGAGATGGCTGTTACCTCTGAGGTTTCTCATGGGAGGTCTGGTTTATCAGTTATGGCTTCTTTGGTGATTTTGCTTTTCTCTCTTTCAGACCTTATAGCTGTGGGATGCGAGTTCAACAGGGTGCATTATCAGAATGGCCAAGTCTTTCAGCCCAGACCCCTGTTTAGCTGCCTCTGTGTGAGTGGAGCCATTGGATGCACACCTTTGTTCATACCAAAGCTGGATGACAGTCGCTGCTCTGGCACTAAAGGTAGAAAGAAGTCTGATCAGTCCAACTGTGGCCTGGGACCCTTCCAAAAGCAGCTTTCAGCAAGCTTCAAAGCAATGCCAGGTGCTTAGAGGCATATTTATTTTTCATGTATTGGCTTCTCGTGGTTTTCTTTCATGTTCCTTTGATGTACCATAAGTACTCAGTAAGCATCTAATGATCAGACCTTATAGCGGTCAGTGTGAGATTTAGTTTGCCTGCGGCTTTACTCAGTCTGCCTCAGAGAGGTATATTCTAAGAATCTCAAAAGGAAACTTCATAATGTTTTAGATTTTTCCAGTAAAACATTCCAGCTTTTAAAAGCTCTGCTGGGTCAGAAATACTCTTCTATGTCTCTGCTCATTCCCACTCAACCTCTTCTCAGAAGAGCTGACCAACTATTGTTCACGTGCACCCTGAGAAAAATTTTTGCTTGTATTGTTATATTACGGGCAAGAAGTGCGAACTAACTCATCCCCCAAATTTTCAAAGGTAACTTTGCTATATGATGAAAGCAGAAATGGAAGCCTACTGATTAAAAATATTTAAGAATATGTTTAGAATTTGTAATTATTGTTTCTAAAAACAGAAAACAGCTGACATAAGATTATCTTTTCATTCGCTCTGGAAATGATGCTCTCCAGTCACTGACACACGTACAGGGCTTTAAAGTAGGTTCCCTAGGCATGTGAGTAGTCAGAAACCTATAATGAGGCTCCGTATCACTCCTCTTGAGCACCTGGCCATTTGCAGTGAGTGTCCATATGTTCACAAAGGCTCAATTCTGGTCAGCTCTAAGTTAATATCTTACTTAAGTGCCAGGGCATTTTGGGGACAGGAGTTTCAAAAACACCAACCAATGAAGCACAGATGAGGAAGGACTCAAAAAGGTCAGTATTCATGCCTAGTTATTATTCACATCTCCGTGTTTTCACCCAGAAATCAAGAATGCCTCTTTATCGAAATTTAGAGCTTGGGAAATGATAGGTGCCATGGAGATACAGAGGGGATATTCAACTACACTAAAAACTCCTTAAGTTCACTTCTATTTTGTGGATATTTAATAAAAGCCACTATCATCAGAGAAAGGATATTTTAGATATTTAAGAACCAACTCTATGAAAGGAACTTTCTCAGAAACTTCCATTATCCCAACTGGTTTGAAAATAATTTAACAGGTTGTAGTGAATTTGCATTTACCATACCTAGTTTTTCAGCTAATAGCAAGACACTACTAATGCTCTAAAACCTCTAAAATTATAAGCCAAACTGTTCTTTCTTCAAAATGTACAGGAACAGTTGATTTTCTGCATTGGATCTGAGGGACTCAGTGTGAGTTCCTGGGACCCATGCATGAACCTCGCTGGTGAGAAAATACCTTAGCCCAGCAGTTTCCACAAGTAAAGCCCTTTGGATCAAGTTCAGTCGGTCTTCTTTGTGGAAGTAGAGCAGTTCCAGAGGATTCATTTGGAACCTGGTTGGAGGGGATGTTAGACCGTCATACTTGGTGGTTCGTGCTTTGCTACAAAAAACCAAAATCTGCCACTGTGCTCTTGGGAGCTGAGATCACAGGCCTAGACAGTTTTCAAGGGAAGTGTACGTTCAGTCTGAAGTCTCTCCTCTGCTTAACTTTGAAACTGTATTTATGGGCCTGAACAGAAGTTTGGTTTTTAAAATTGAGCACAATGACACACACTCTAAGGTGTATTTGTGGTAGTAATTTATATACTTACTAATGCAGACAGCTCATGGTTGGGATCCAGCTTTTGTTTGCTCCATATGAAGCATGCAGTGAACGCCCCCATGCTTTCCTCACTGCTCCCCGAGTACTAAATAAATTCTCTAAAAGCTCTTCTAGTTTTCTTGCTTTTTAATGAATGTTAAATTTCTGAACTGCAGCTCTTGGCTTAACTTTAGGGGGTTATTGGTAATACGGTAATCTAACCTGCCTTTATTTATTGCAGATGCCTGCCGGGGCTTTTAATCTGCTTCCGGCATAGAGGTCTTTAAGCTGCTGTCTACCTTCCAGGTATCTTCATGTTTCTGCTTCCTCTCCCTCAGTTCCTTGTGCAATCGCGAGATCTTACTGTAGTAACGCTGAAAGCAGTAAAAGATCATTTTATTTTTTTCAAAGATTTTATTTATTTATTTGACAGAGAGCACAAGCAGGGGGAGTGGCAGGCAGAGAGGGAGAAGCAAGCTCCCCTCTGAGCAGGGAGCCTGATGTGGGACTCGATCCCAGGACCCTGGGATCATGACCTGAGCCGAAGGCAGACACTTAACCAACTGAGCCACCCATGCACCCTAAAGGGTCATTTCATTTAAAGACAGCAGAAACTTCAAAGTGCCTACCATTTCCTATCAGGAAGGCAGTTTGCCGGGGGCAGGTGGGGAGTGAATTTTCAGAGTTTTAAATTGGCATTTTAAAGTAATGTAGCCAGAATTTTGCTATGCTCAGTTGTAGGTTCAAATCAAAACCTTATTCCAAGCATCAATTTTAGGATGCACATTAACCTTAAGGAAATGCTTTGAGAAAATAAACCAGTATGTAGTTTGTTTAAAATGAAGCAATGGCCTGATTCATTCATGAGAAGAAAATGAAGCTCCCAGTGGGTTCATAATAGAAGACTTATTATGTACTCATTGTATTCTTATTATTTATCCCCTTCCCCTCCCTTTTGCTCCAGTGTCAGTAGAATCAGTGGAGGGGGCTCCATCTATCCACCAACTTATCCACCCACCCATAGATCTGTCCATCTTTTCCTTTGCCATGTCTTTTTCTAGAAGTGATTTGAAATGGCTAGCCAATGGAATGAATACTATGGGCCTAATTCCATAGGGAATGTAGCAGTTAAGCTGAATGGATAAAATAGATAACATATTTGCCATGCCTTAGTAGTATATGATTTTGATTAGTTCAATGTAATGTAGAGAGTTTTCTAAAAGACTAGATTAAAACAAGTGGAGGAAAAATAACTGGCTCAATAGTTTATCCTCAAATATAACGTTTGTATTTTAGATTTTAACATAATAGGAAATTTAACATTAAGACATTGTTCTGGGGGTGCCTGGGTGGCTCAGTGGGTTAAGGCTTCTGCCTTCTGCTCGGGTCGTGATCCTAGGGTCCTGGGATTGAGCCCCACATCGGGCTCTCTGCTCAGCGGGGAGCCTGTTTCCCTTCCTCTCTCTCTGTCTGCCTCTCTTCCTACTTGTGATCTCTGTCAGTCAAATAAATAATTGAAAAAAAAGAAAAAAAAAAGACATTGTTCTGATTAATATTATCTTGGCTGTCTTAATCTTAAATGTCTATTTCATTGTTGAAAATAATGTCCAGCAAGAGGCAAGAACCAGAGAAAGCACAGTAGTTTACTACTTAGATGAGTTGAGCAGAAGCAAATGGATGCATCTTACTTAGATTTTCAAAAATAAACTATTTTTATTCTTCCTAAGAAATTGGACTGTCGCATTTGATTGAAAGGACATTTGGAAAGCGGGGAAAAAGAGAATGATGAATTAGACCATAAGCTTATTTTATGCTGAGTTTCATTACATAAAGGGTTCTGATGTATTAACAATTAGCTGAAAAATAATGATTAAAAGTGGTCTGTTGACATGAGTACATATATGTATACATATGTACTTTCCCCTCTTTATTTTAGCTTATAGGAATCTCCCACTTGTTTGGAAGAGAAAATGTCTTGTGCAAGCAACAAAGTGGACCCCTTGCTCCAGAACATGTGGGATGGGAATATCCGATCGGGTCACCAATGAAAATAGCAACTGTGAAATGAGGAAAGAGAGAAGACTGTGTTATATTCAACCTTGTGACAGTAATATATCAAAGAGAGTAAAGGTAACATTAGATTTAACTTTGTTATAATTCAGTATTAAGAGACCGAAAAGTACTCTTGCATTTTAGAGATAGATGTTGTGTAATTCTTATTAAAATAAGGTCACCTCATTGTAACTCTTAAACTACTCAGAGGAAAACAAAGATTAATCTATCTGCACTTCATGGGGTAAAATCTTAACTAGAGGAGAGGTAATGTTACCCTACTGATTCTCGTTATTTTAACAGCTTAACAGTGTGGGTCTTGATCAGCCTGATTTCTTCTGGTAGACCCAACATGTATTGTTTTTTAAAAATAGATCCTTTTCAGAGTCTTTTAAAAAATATATTAATTTTATGCAGTGGAGTCAAGGCAATGGATAAAAGATTTTGGTTGCTACATCATAATTATAAAAACATTATGGACATCAGAGAAGTTCTAATCTTGGTTATGTATCACCAGGTTGGAGGGGGAAACCATCATGTCCAAAATACTCTGTGCTTAAATAGTAGACTTGCCAAAGGACTGTGACAAAATATTTACTCTAGATTTGTTTGGTATAACTAGTGCTGGTCCTGCTTCTAGAACAAGGCAAGATAACCGTCTCAAGAGTAAGTTTGAGGAACACTAAAAGTCTTTTCATCTCCAAGTTATTCCCTATCATGTTAAGAAGTTGACAACTTAATTTTAAAGGGATTTAGATATGTCTTCATTTATTCATCCATAAAAAATTGTCTGACCTGTGTTAGGGAATTTGCTAAGTCTTAGGTAAATAAACATTTAATAAGACATGGCCCTTGACATTAAATAAGACAGAGAAATTTTCATTCTGGAAACTGGAACTAAGTAGAGTGGATAGCCAAAAGACTGGGGAGTGGGTCCTATACTATGATGGAACAAGAACAGGGAGGACAGACTTCTGGTGAGGGAATTTTGAAGGTAAAGAAGAGACACTAAATGGGAAATATTAATGCCCTGGAAATAATTTCTTTCTTTGTGTTTCTACATAGAGTATCACTTTTCTAAACTGTTGTAACCAAATTAAAGAATGACTTCTTAATGTCATGTACCTTTTCAGATCCCCAAAGGAAAAACGTGCCAACCTACTTTCCAACTGCTCAAAGCTGAAAAATTCGTCTTTTCTGGATGCTCAAGCACTCAGAGTTATAAACCCACTTTCTGTGGAGTATGCTTGGATAAGAGATGCTGTATCCCTAATAAGTCTAAAATGATTACCATTCAATTTGATTGCCCAAACGAAGGGTCATTTAAGTGGAAGATGCTGTGGATTACATCTTGCGTATGTCAAAGGAACTGCAGAGAGCCAGGAGATATATTTTCTGAGCTCAAGATCCTATAAAACCTATTATATATGGGAAAAGTTAAGTTTAGGTAATCATGTCATTACATAAGGAAATTAGAGTGGTTTTAAGAGGGTGGCACATCTACCTTACTGATTTAAAAAAGGGAAGAATACTTACCTATTCTCAGATGACTCTATTTAAGGCATTAGAGGCTATTTAAAATGTTCTCTTAAAAATATATGTAAAACTTGGTTAGCTCTTTCTGCTCATAGGTCTTGTCCCTCTGCTTTAATAAAAGCTTTTTTGCACCAAAAATATCTATATATGTATATATGTATGTATATATATAGCTTAAAATTCTTAAAAGTGAACTCTTGTTTAAAATGTGTAATTATGAAATACACAGATAGTTGCTTCCATCTCCATATTCCATACATAATGGAAAAATTATACAATTTACAAGAAAGCATTTTATTCTATAAAATAATCTAAAATACTTTGTTGAAGATGTGTAAAAAGTTTAGAACTTTTTTAACACTTTATTTTTTAAAACTTTATCTGTACTTTGACGGTGTAGCCTAGGATTCCATCACATGATAATTACACAGTGAGCAAGATTCTGGGTTTACGTCTTAAATAGGAATAAGATTAAACTGCAAATATAATTTCCACTACCCTATCCTGAGTATCAGTGTATTAAGATTTCTTTTAAAAGAAGAAAATAGAACTTCTTTGGCCATTATTGACAACTGTAAAGTATAGAAACTTTACGAAATACTGTAAAAAATGAAATTTCCAGGGGCGCCTGGGTGGCTCAGTGGGTTAAAGCCTCTGCCTTCGGCTCAGGTCATGATTCCAGGGTCCTGGGATCGAGCCCCGCATCAGGCTCTCTGCTCAACAGGGAGCCTGCTTCCTCCTCTCTCTCTGTCTGCTGCTCTGCCTACTTGTGATCTTTGTCTGTCAAATAAATAAATAAAATCTTTAAAAAAAAAAAAAGAAAAAAAAAAAAAAAGAAATTTCCAAGATAAAGATCAAAACAGTATCCGTACTTAGAAAAGAAACTTAAAGACTTAACACTAAAGAAAGCACAGATTATTATGGCTTGAAAATAAATTGTTCCCTCAAATTACTTTCTTAAATGATAAATCCACCTATGGATTTAAAATATAAATTGTATTTAAAGTTAATTTAATGTTAAAACTATAACTGGAGATTATAACTGGAACACGTTCCCTAGACTATTATAGCCATTTTCCTGTAAACTTTAGAAGATGTCTAGCTAAGTAATGTTTTATTTGCTTATATAAATGGTAATAAGCAAATCCAATAATAACAAAAGCAATACTGTTTAAAAAATAGACATTTATTATTATGAAATCAACTGTTTTAATAAAAAAGCATTATAGTTAAAGATAATTTAATACATATACATGTTAAAATAAATGTAAATTTGGATTCTTTGAGTGCAAAATGTGGTTACCCAAAGAAGAAACCAAAACCTCCTTTAGAGATGTAATAAAACGTATCCCTGAAAAGTTAGTGGGTATTACATAAATGTATTTATATCGTGTTCTACTACTCCTCGTACTTGCTTTTAAAAAATCAGGAGAATTTAAACAGAATATGAAAAAATAAATTATAAATAAATATAAAAATATACCTTGTAAGATCTTTATTGAAGACATGATTATCACTGTATTTAAGTGCTTAACTATGAGAATATAAATTAAAATACTGAAGAATTCTGTTTTCTCATTTTAGAAAAGGGGAATTTTCTGAAGACAAATGTTTGAAGTTGAGGTAGTAGGACTTCACTAATTTCACAGACTGGTATCATCCACAAATTGTGATGAAATGAAAATCACTTTTTTTTTTTTTAACGACAAAAGTGCTTTCTAATAGGAAAAGTGCAAATTGGATCTTCTGAATCACAAAAATTCTGAAACAGAAAGAAAAGGTGACAAAATCAGAGTTGTATCTTGGGGTTTCTTTTTCACATAGCTACGCTTAGTCTGGGAAAATCTTCCACAGGCATGCTTTTCGTGGCATCCAGTTGGTTATATTCCTCTATGAGCCCCGATAAAGATGATAGAGCTTCCATGAAACAGCTTTCTTCCATCCCTTCAATTTGTAGATAGTGATGAAGATGAGCCTATAAATAAAAGGATTTATTTAGCCTAGAATTATAAAATAAAATATAAATATAAAATAAAAAACTGGATAATGCTGACCATTTTCAGAAAATTTAATACATATGTAATTATCCTAAAACATAAATAATTCTTTATTAAAATGATAGTTCACTCAGCTTTACAAGAGAAAGGGCAACTCAAATCCTGTAAACTCACAAGATTTCTCCTTTACATAGTCTGAGTAAACCTCTCCTCTTCAGTTATAATCAGTAGAGTGAATAGAGCCGTCAGGATTGCCCCTGATTTGATAGTGTAACTCGTGAGAAGACATCTCAAATAGCCAAAATAAACACATGTAGTTACGAAGGTGTACTGATAATTACCTTTTTCTTGTACAGCCTCATGAATCTCTCTCTCAGTTCCATGAAGGTAGGCTTCACACATGTGTTATTTGCTAGAGCTAATAATGAATGGGAATGACCCACAGGAGGTACTGAACACAGGCTGGTCTTCCAGCCTTCTTGATTCCAGGAGACAAACTGTAGAGAAGGTTTTAATCTGAGATACAAAAACCAAAAGGTGAGAATGAAGGTACTGAAAGTATCTGCCATATATGGCAGCGGACATTACTGATGGTACCGTTCTAATTGCTCAGTATATAATGTAAGTTACCTATTTTTTACTATTAGTGGTCTTGTGGTACAATCTGACAGTGAGCTAAAGGGATATTTAGTTAGGGGGACATTAAATCTGGGATGAAAAAGAGATGAAAATATTGCAATTTCCTTACTTTGTAATTCAATAGAGTTTTCCTAAAAATAGACTGTCAAAAAATAGTAAAACATACACTTAGAAGCAGTGTAGTGGTAGTAATACAACAGTAGTTAAATTTTCTGAATACTTTCAGAAAATAAAGTATCTCCTATATCATTCACTATTCATAAATAACAACTTTGAAGATTTTATTTATTTATTTGACAGAGAGAGAGAGATCACAAGTAGGCAGTGAGGCAGGCAAAGAGAGAGGGGGAAGCAGGTTCTAAGCTGAGCAGAGAGCCCGATGTGGGGCTCGATCTCAGGACCTTGAGATCATGACCTGAGCCAAAGGCAGAGGCTTAACCCACTGAGCCACCCAGGTGCCATCCATAAATAACAGCTTTGTACCAGTAGTATTCTTATTTTACGTTTGAGAAAAATAAGGCTAAGAGAGGCTAAGTAATTTGCTCAAGGTCACCCTTCAGTTAAATGGCAGCAGTAGAATCTGAAGAGAGGCCATTTGAACTACTATGCTACCCTGTCACAGGTGGTACACATAAATTATGAAAATATAAAATCAAACCTTTCAATATTTCTGCGAAGATCTGAAACCTGTACATTTCCTCTAACCATAAGGGCACAGGCGAGGTACAGACTATGTTTGGGGTCAGCCCGAATTAGCTGGTGATCTTTACTAAAGGCATCTGAAAACATCTGATCCAACCTAGAACAATGAAAGAATCACTGTTTATACAAAATATTATTTCTTCCGTGTAGAACTACAAAGTGCAAAGATAGTCACTTATATGTAAACAAACTTCACATACAAACACCTTCTACATTTCAGTGATCATTTTCTCAAAACAATCTTGATAAGAAAGAACAGGACACCTTTTATCCTTTATTTAAAGAAAGAGGAGGACACCTTTTATCCTTTATTTAAAGAGAAGAAGAACAAAGTGCTAACATATTATATGTAATAATAGACAGGATCCTAGAGCCCCACCCAGCCTGGTTCTTATATCTCACTTAACTCAATACAGCTATCAGGTTCCCTAGATAACTCTAGATTCTGTGTGCTGAACCTGCGAAGTGTTTGGGAAGAGCTGCAGAAATCACACTGTGTTACCTACTTATTCAACACATATTTACTGAATGCCTACTATGTGCCAGGCACTATTCTAAGTGCAAGAGACCCAGAAGTGAGCAACAAAAATTTCTACTCTACTGGGGCTTACATTCGATCTTGGTTATGTGATAGCAAGAACAGAAGACTCCATTAGGGAATGAAGAGCTGTGGGAGGTTAGTAAATCCTCTGCTACTGTGTTCGAAAGTTTGGTGTGTATGTGCTTTTGGGCATTTTTATGGAGTTAAGGAAACCCAGAAAAGGATAAGAACCACTATCCAACAAGTGGGCAAATTCATTCTTGATTTAACCTCTGCTGCAAAATATAAAAAGTAGTAAGGAGCTATTTGAAATTTTGGGATACTTACCTTTATTTATATTAGAAATATGGAATTTCAAGAAATCTAAAACACTCCTTATATGTGCTTATTTTATTTTTGTGTGAAAAAAATGAGATAAGGTACAGGACTAACATTAATAAAAGGCCCAACAAAAATCTTTCTCACTACAAGAAATTGAAGAGCTTTAAAACTGACTTCTAATAGTATAATTTTAGAACAATTTATTATTTTACTCAAGGATAAATGTGCTCATGTGCCGATATGCCAGCCTCTGAAATAATCTATACTACAGCAGAAAGGGGTAAAAAGACACAAAGACAGAAAGAATACTGTGACAAGTTCCCTAAGCGTATAAAATCTTTAAAGTCCCTTATACATTATCACAAACACATTTTAAAAATAAACCTTTGTCACAGACTAGGATTATATGAATACAAAATGCTGCAACAGTATAATTTTTATTAAAATACGCCAAAAAGCAGGGTTAAAAGAAGTTTAATTGGCTTTGAAATATTCAGGTTGAAGGACCAAGTCAAGCATTTTTTTCTTTATGCTGGACTTAATTAGAAATTTCCCGTCTTTATTTTTTAAGAATTAACTTTAAATGTAAAAATGTCTGGACTATCATTATTGTACAGTAAATAGTTTAGCACCAATTTACATTCTATGTGTCCATACAGAGGATGCACATTTAAATACACTCATTTTTAATATGTGGGGCTGATAATAACATGATCATTTAGTGAATGATTACCATGTTCCATATACAATGCAAGTCACTTAAGGTCATCGGCGTCCCATGCAGAAAGAGTCCTATCTACTAGTTGGCATAACTGGGTCTACTAGTTGGCATAACTGGGTTATTTGTTAACAGCTTAAATAAAAGTTATTCAGTAGCACTGTGATATTTATAGTATAGAATTATTACTTTGTCAAAATTTAAACTACAAAGAAGACCTTTCATCTGGTTTTTATCATTTACATACTTTCCTCTTAGAGTTTGACAGGACCTTTTCTTTCAGTCAACTGTGGATGCCAGTGGGACCTTTTCAAGCTTATCATCACTGTATGTGCTCAGAATATTTTTCAACTACATTTTTTTGTTAAGTAGACTGATGAAGTTTTATGCTTATAAATGACACGCAGTTACAAAACAAGGTGTTCTGGAAATGATATATAGCAGCTACCATAAACAGTAACACTGGAAAGCCTTCTATGGTGCTGGACTGTGGTAACAGTTTTAAAAGATATTCTTATTTAAGATACCCAATAAGCATATGAGGTATGTGCACCTGCCCAAGGTCCTATAGCTAGTGACGAATTGGCATTCAGACTTACGTATGTCAGATTGCAAAGCCCTGAAATCTTTTTCAATAAAAACCAAATCTTTAGGAATTTCATTAGCTCAAAAATTAAGATTTAATGTCAAATAGTTTAATATTGACTTTTTAAACAATGACTTGTAAATAAAGCATTCAAGTAATGAAAATGACACAAAGAAAATGACATGAGAAAAACACCCAGAGTTAAAAGTTTAAAAAAAACTTTTGAAAAAAGGTAATTCAAATAATCAAGTCATTGGCATAAAGTTACTGTATCTTACCTTCGGGTAGGAATGTTAACATCTGCCAGTGTATAGAGAGGTGTAAGGCTTGACACAAGATAATGCAGTTGCGGAAAAGGAACTAAATTCATGCTGATTTCATTAAGGTCCATATTAAGGGACCCTTCAAACCTTGCAGAGCTAAAAAATTAACATTAAAGCAAGAGAAAAAAATTTAATGTTAAAATTTTATACTTTGAATGTAGCTTTACTATTCAGCCAGCATTCTTAAATCCTTTTGCACACCATTCTTCAGTAGAGAATATATGCTCCTTTTTTTGTATTAGTGAAACTTTGTATCATGAATAACATGTATAAAGATAATTAAAGTATAACACACAACATCTATATCAATTCTTATTTGTGGATTATATGACGTGTAACCAAGACACTATTATATTGCACATTACTCATACAAAAATATCTTACTTAAAACAGACTTTGAATTAAACACATACAGGTCAGCAATTATTTATTATTAAATATTATTCAATTATTATTTAGTTATAATAATATTATGATATTATTATTTAATTATAAACTTCATTAAATTCTTCATGGGTCTGCCTGATATGCTGTACAATTTGGAATATAATAATGCCAAAGCAGCCTTCCAGATCAAAGTCAAGGAAATATTTTGGACCAACTAACAATAAGGAGATAAACATTAGCTGCTTTAGAAGATGAGGCAATCTATAGCAAAAAAATGTGCTTACTGTTATCTAACCAAGGTCTCATGTGTTTATTTGTGGCAAACTTTTTTCACTTAATACCTATTAATATTCTCCGGAATATACCTGGGAAAATAATGCTTTGGAGTAACAGAAATTAAAGTTCTAGTCTATCACTCCAAGATCTGAAAACACTAGACAGAATAAAATAAAATTTAAAAAAACCTCCTGTGACTTAGAAAACCTGAAAGATGCTATTACAAAAATGCTACTACAAGCATCATCATAGGACAAGTGAAGTTTTCAAACTGTCTTAAGTTTTGCCATTAATAGGATTACCTTGTTAGGTTCAGCAGCAAATTGGCTACAATGTTGTTCATCGCATCAAAGGGCTTCTGGTGCCGTTTCTTAACAGCCCCAGCACTTGAAGTAATCAGACTCTTTGGCTTTATAGTTGTGCCCAACTTTCCAGAATTCACCATCAGGTCAATTTTGCTAATGATGTCAAATAAAGACTTTTAAAGGGAAAATATTGGGAGAGAAGCTATTAACGAGAGTGGACATAGATGACATTTTACCAGGAAGGAAAGAAGAGAAAGAAAAACAATTTAAACTTATTTTTCCTCTTAGATGGGAAGGCTGAAAAATGATGAGAATGTTTCCTATGCACATATAAGTGTAACACAAGATTGAACGTATATATATCCATAAATTACAGTGTCATTTCTTACTTGGTTGTCAATGGGCAACACACAGTCTGCATGCTCGTTGAGTTCCTTCATTGCCAAGATGCTATTGTAAGGCGAGGTTATGACATCATCCTCACCAGAAGGATAAACTGAAGTCACGAATCTGTATACTTCTGGGAATTCATCCTCGAGCATCTTTAAAAGAAATGTGCCAAGTCCAGATCCTGTGCCTGAGAATTAAAATTGCAAAAACAAAAACAAAAAAAACCCAGCATAAACTATTCAAAATAAAATTGTGAGGAACTTGGAATTTTATGGCTTCTTTTGATAGGAACATATTTTAAAAACCAGAGCATTATATAGAAGAGAGTTTTGATTCCATTAAAAATTAAAAAAAAAAATACATACATATATAAAACCTATAAACAAAATGAAAAAGGCAAACTAAGGAAAAAAATCTCCAACACATATGAAGGGCTAAATTTCTTCAATAAAGAGGTCTCACAAATCAACAACGAAAAAAACATGAATAATACAACAGAAAAATGGGTAAAGTATGTAAATATGTCATTCATAATAAATCAGGTGGTGACTAGATGTGAGGATGGTCAACCCTTCTTCTAATCAAAGAAATCCAAGTTAAAACAATCTAATTTTGAATATATTAATGTTTTATAATACTCAGTGTTAGTGACAGTGTGGGGAAATAAATCCATATAGATTGTTTCTAATATGGATTGGTGAAAGTAAGAAAGTACTTATTAATATCAATCAAAATTTAAAATGTATTTCTTGCTCCCACTTTCCTTTTGGGAATATTACCTACAGCTGTAGGGGCATAAACAGGCAGAAATGTATGTACCAGATATTCAAGCGGGGCTTGTTTGTAATTAAACTAAATATCATGAACAACTGAACATCCACTAGTGGGAAATGGACTTCAAAAAGTATATATTAACACAATTGAATTCTAGGAGACAGAGAAAATAATGAAAGACATTCAGGGAAGACATAAAGTGAAAAAATGTTGGAATAATATGCACTGCATGATCTTATGTTAAAATACACACACGCACTTTTAAAGGCATAGAAAATATCTGGAAGGATAGACATAGACAAACTTGATTACCTGTGAGAAGACAGTTTAGGATTTAGATGTCAGAAAGGAGACCATTTTTAACCTTCACTATTATTTATTTTTGTCAGTAAATTATGAATAAAGTATAGTCTTCTGAGATTTTGAACAACACAGGGATTAAAAAAGGCACTATAATTAACTATAAATCAAATTGTTTTGAAAACTTACCCAAACTTGCAGGTTAATTACACTAGTAGATAAAGAATTTGTTTCTTAATGATTGTGATGGTCCTCTAAAGGCATGGTTACATAGAAATTATCACTTTAATTTTAAAATGTTATCATACTGAATAATATGTATAAAAATCAATTTATAGGGGCGCCTGGGTGGTTCAGTGGGTTGAGCCTCTGCCTTTGGCTGGGGTTATGGTCTCAGGGTCCTGGGATCCAGCCCTGCATCGGGCTCCCTGCTTGGCAGGGAGCCTACTTTCCCCTCTCTCTCTGCTTGCCTCTCTGTCTACTTGTGATCTCTCTCTCTCTAAATAAATAAAATCTTTTAACAAAAATCAATTTATATAATCTGCTGAATATAAAATCTTAATCTGAGCTTGGAGAAAAATAGTATGTATACTTCTGGGAATTCTTTTAAAACTTTTCTTTTAAAACTCACTAATCCTTTTGGAAATTAGCAAAATACGGTATGTGTCTAGTTCATAAAACAGGAGCAAAATACTTCATTTGCAAGGTACAGGCTTTCCTGGGGAAAGAAAACAATGCAGACCTTTAATCTAGGTCAAGGCAATTACTATGTGAGGAATAGTTTAAAGGAGCTGACTAAAAGGATTTATCTATGTCTCTTATTGGACACAAGAAAGGTTGGGAAGCAATTAAAGAGTATTGATATTTCTTAGCAAGGATACCAATGAACAAGCCAGAAATGCTTAGTTTCTAGGCGGTATTATGAGTCTACGCAAGCAAACTCCTAGGACAAAGGCAGGATTCCCAGAAAGCTCACATACACTGAAATGTAGCTGGAAATTTTATGAAAGAACTAAAAGTAGAAGAAGAAAAAACTTCAGATTCAGTTGTCCTGACTCTTAAAAGGGCTTCAATTTATAAACAATGGTAATAGCAACAAAATTTGACAAAAATTTAAAATAAGAAGCAGTTATGTATATAGTCAAATACATACAGTGTTAAGAGTTGTACCTTTATTAAGCATAGGTCTGAAAACAGGCTACTGTTTGCAAAATGAATTCCCACTTACACTTTCACATTGCTATAGGGAAATGAGTGAGTAACTTTACCTCCTCCCATGGAATGTATTATAAAAAAACACTGCAAACAATCACAGTGCTCTGCCGACTTTCTGAGTTTCTCTAAAATCTTTTCTTGATAAAGACTGCCAAAAACTTTGTGCCCCACAGCCCTGAAAAAAAAAAAAGAATATAAATTACAAAAATACTCTGACATTTATTATTTCAAGATTTGATTACTTCTGAACTAAATGAAAAGATTACAGAAAAACTTAAAGAAGCATTTTTACTAATTCTTGTTTCATATGAATAAATCATACTGTGATATTTCAAAGATACTAGATAGAAAATGTAACAAATATAAAGGTCTATAATCCTCAAATATCCTGATAAAATAGCTCATTATCAATGGATATTAAACTATGGTTTTCTAAATTTATCTTCTTTCTCCTTTTTTTAAGGTATAAACATAAGACTTTAATTACATAGTTTTTTCTCATTTCCATTTAACATAAACTCTGATTGCAGTAAGTTTTACACATTGAAGAGCAGAATTTGGTCAACTAGAAAGACATTAAAAAGAAAAAAATTTGAACTAACATATTGGTTTAATATAGGAGAAAACACTGGTCACATCATGTTATCATTAGTTGAAATGATACACAATAGAAAACTGATATTCATAAGGCTCTGCAAGCCTTTCTGATAATCAAATTTGCAAGGAGCACTTTGATGCATTAAAAAATGATTAAAAAAAAATGAATGGCTTCCCCATGACACAGGTTGTGTAACTCAAAAATTACAGAAAAAGTTACATAATTAGTGAAAAGCCAGTTAAGTGGGCAGGTGAATTCATTTAGTGGCTGGTTCTCCCCATATGAAGTTTCTAAGAAGGCAAAATGTAAACTCATGTTTTAAAGTTTTATTTATTAGAGTCATCTCTACCCCCAACATGGGGCTCAAACTAATGACCCCAAGATCAAGAGCTGCATGCTCTTCTGAGCCAGCCAGGCACCCAGCAAATTCACGCTTTAGTGAAATGATATCACTACACATTAGGAACCTGAGAGACAGACTGCAAATAGAGAAAATAGTAAACATTAGATTTGCAAATAACAAGGAGTTACTTAATTTTTAAAAAACAGCAAAAACAGTCTCAATGTAAATTTTCAATGATCATCGTTGAAGCTTTTTACCCCATTAAAGAGAACAGACAGTTATATATTTATGAGAAACACAGCCTTTGGCTGAGCTTTAATGCTGGGACACTGGTCTAGCTTCCACTTCTTAGCAGTCAAGTCTGACCAACTGGAGAACTTGATAGAGTCAAATAGTGTAGGTAAGAGAACAGTTTATAAAAATAATTAAAACTTTTGTCACTGGTATTATGTAAGAATCAATTACAAGGAATTTAGTAAATCCATTTTTCAGGATTTTTTCCTAAAAAATGGTGAGAAAAAACTGTAATAGGGTGACTTTTCAGCACTGAGAAACCCCATCATTTATCCAGGGAAAGATGAAGGGCCGAAAAGCCTAGAGGCAGGTCTGGCAGGTAGATCTTGCTTTCCTGTCAGCAGGACCTATTAGAAAGAAGGAAAGATCATTTTTTTTGAGATGACATTCAATTTTTTACATACAGCATGTTCTCACCAGTTATTCCCCGAGCCAGAAATATCAGTGATGAGCTGCTTGCTATCAAACACATCTCTCAATGGTCCCTGCAGAATTTCATTTACTACCCCTTCCTCCATGTCAATCAAGACAGCCTGAGAAAGAGAAATAAAACCGAATTAGCTTATTTGTCTTTAGAGCTAGTAACTCTGTAAATGAATTTATGAACTAAAAGTTGCATTGTTCTTTTTATAGTTTAAGCTTAGTCAAATCTTTATTTGAATCTTTATGTAGAATCTGTTGTAAGAATGAAAAAGTAATTTCACTCTGCTCAGGAGGTGGAATACAATTAAAAGGTGGGTTCTATGGGGCACCTGGGTGGCTCAGTGGGTTAAGCCTCTGCCTTTGGCTCAGGTCATGATCTCAGGGTTCTGGGATCGAGCCCCGCATTGGGCTCTCTGCTAGGCAGGGAGCCTGCTTCCTCCCCTCTCTGCCTGCTGCTCTGCCTACTTGTAATCTCTCTCTCTCTCTGTTAAATAAATAAATTAAATCTTTAAAAAAAAAAAAAAAGGTGGGTTCTAAACTCTCAGTCTACTCCAAAATACCACGTGGGGTAGGGGGAAGAAATGACTAATCCCCTCAACTGATTTTCTAACAATTCTTTTACTCCTGTGCCTATGTGATTGTAAATGTCTTGAGAACAAGATCTTAGAAATTTAGAAGGTGCCCTAACCAGAAAAAAATTCTCAATAAATATACGGTATGTTAATGCACTTGCTCAGCAGGAACAACCATGCTGCTCTTCATGAATCACAGCCCAAAACGGTTCAATTCAGATCAGTAAACTTACTATCAGATGCAAACCAAGGCCCTGGATAGAAGTCAAAGGTGACAACGAGGTCCCTACTCCCAAGAAAACCTAATTCATTACCACAAACACTATTGACATGGGCAATAACCTTTACTACTTAGAAGAAAATGAGAATATAAAACATAAAATTAAGTATGGAAAGAAAAATAGAAAAGATTGGAGGGAAACACAGCAAAATGTAGGCAGGAATAGCTTGGCAATAGGATTATATATTATATACCCTCTACCCTCACTGTTTTGTACTTCCATGTTTTCTACACCGAGGAAGACGAGTGAAAAAGTAAAATAAATAGTTAAATAAAAAAGCTGAAAAAATTCTGAAATAACTTTAGAATACACTACAAAGCTATTAACTCTTTGATTCAGTGTCAGAGAAAGTGCTTGGTTTACGGGCTTTTTTAGTTCTTGTGACCCCGTGACTTTAAGCACTTACAGTGTCTCTATGTGCTTTGTTCGTATTACCCCATTTGATCCTCAGAAGCCTATGCATAGGTACTATAATTACCCCTGCCTTACCCTTGAGAAAACTGAGGCCTAGGAAAGCTAAATTACTTAGCTGTGATCCCCTGGCTACGTGAAGGAGTAGAAATTCACACTTGGTTAGCCTGGCTGCAGAATCTTCAGTCTTCACCATCAAACGCCAGGCTCGCCTATCTATTGAGATAGTCAAGTGTGACATTTATGGAGTACTGACTACCATGGGGTTGCAACTTATGCCCATTTAAATTCTGTGAATTAAATTGTCTGTGGAATTAACTATGCTACTGTAAGCAAGCAACTGAGATTGTCTTACCCAGTATGTCAGAAATATATTTCTAATTGTACAATAGTATATCACAGTAGTATACTAGGAAGACTATAAAATTATGTATTATAAATGTGCTCTTTTATATACAGCAAGCAATATACATATACTTTATGTATACTGGACTACATAGGGTTAGTTACTGACAATTTAAGGTTTTTCTAGGATATTTTGATAATATGCAAGTTTTACCTAGATGTTGACTTTTAACACCTAATCAACCATAAGAGAGACTTCACTGTATGGGCAAACAGTAGTATAGTATACGTGTGTAAGATTACAAAAAGAAAAAAAAAATTAGCTTATAACGGCCTTGTTCCAAAACAGATTTATTTAAGATCATTTGTGGAAGACTTCCCTCAATTACCTTGCAATCTGGCAAAGGAAGCAACAGGAAGAATACACACTGACATTCAAGCCCCTCTTGAAGTCAGGTTTGATAGAATCATACTGTCATCTTCACTGAACATGAAAACGCTGACATGGTATAGAACTTTTTCAATTCTAGTCATACCAAGCCTTCGATTTGTTTTTCCCTTGGAAATTAATTAAATGAGGAGGGATTATTCTGGGTTCCTCACATAGCCATCCAAGGTCTAGAATCACAGCTGTTTCAGGATTTGATGTTTATTGTTTTCTACCACAAGAGCAACGAGGTGATAGCTTTCTGGTCTTTGAGCATTCCCTTAATTGTAATATAGGATTTATAAAACTCTGAGTATTTACCCATTAGCCTATGATACTGGATACAGTGGAGGGACCTGACCACCAAGTTATCTTGCAAAGACTTCAGTGATCACAGTCACTTAATACCAAGACTCCTAAGGAGAAATGGAAGAGTACCTTCTAGGACAAGTCAAAGGTGACAGAGAAATAGTGTTTTCTCCACCTCCTACTTGCTCACTGATAGGGTACTGGGAAAGAGCTCAATCTGGGAGTGCTCTAGGAAATGTCAATGTTACTTTTTCTGTAAGATTTGGATTGGGATTTTAGTGTTCTCCATAGCATGTAGGATACCAAGTTTTAATCATCTGAACAGCCTATAAGCACATGGTCTCTGCCACTAAATTTTGTTTTCCAAGGACATCTGAGATTACAGATACAAGGAGACAGTTCCCAGGTACCACAGCACAATTGCTTTTTGCTTTTCCAGCCACGACTCCAGGTCTGATCCTTACTGTCTCAATTCCTTCCATCCAAACTGCTTTTCTTTTTTGTTACAAAGATTATTGATCAACAACTAGAAAAAGCAGGTTGTTGTAGAGAAACAATGGCAGAAGTGTTGTTGTTGGAATGAAATTAAGACTAAATATGGGCGACTGACTCAAATCATTTTTGTTCAAGAGGTCTTCACAGAGTTATGGTATTCACTATAATGTGGCTGGATCCGATCAGTGCTTTGGACTGGGAATAGTAACTGATGCAAAGAAATGTTCCATTACCTTCAAATGAAAAATTAACCTTCATTAGCATGTGTCTGAGGCTAGAATTAAGAAAGCTCCTTTTGTTATCATTTACCCAGATGTATATTTCCCCTGAAACATTAAAAAAATGCTAAGATAGTGTTTTTCCTTTAAGCACAAAATTTTCCCCCTAAAGTTCCAGGCAGATATAAATGTCTGCTTAATTATATTTATATTAAAATGTGGCTTAGTAAATACTTTTTTTATATTTGAGAAGTTAAATTAAAATTTAATTCTGATAGTTACAGAAATATAGTTATTTTTAAAAGACACATAATAGGGGCGCCTGGGTGGCTCAGTGGGTTAAGCCTCTGCCTTCAGCTCAGGTCATGGTCTCAGGGTCCTGGGATCAAGCCCCGCATCGGGCTCTCTGCTCGGCAGTGAGCCTGCTTCCCCCTCTCTCTGCCTGCCTCTCTGCCTACTTGTGATCTCTCTCTCTGTCAAATAAATTAAAAAATAAATAAATAAATAAAAGACACAAAATATAAGAATCCAAGTATACAGATCTTACTCGCGCTTTCAAAGTACAAATTTTCCCCTTGGAAATACTGCCACCATCACCAACCACTCTGAAAGATAAAAAATGAGAAAAGGTCATCAGATCTCCCAAAGGCTAATACTGCTGTTAGGTAATTAACTCCTGTTTATATAAAGCTACTTACAGGCCTGGTGAGGCAGACACAAAAGGCAACATATAGAAGGTGCCTTTCCTATTTTTCTCCCTTGTTTACCCTCCCCTTAGACTGAAAAGTGAATACTTTTTTCCCTGGCTTTCTTTGTAGTTAGGGCTGGCCATGTAATCTAGTTCTTACTAATGAGATAAAAGGGAGATATCCTGGGAAGCTTTTCTGATAAAGAGGACCAGATGTAGTCAGTACCAACTCTTCCCTTTTCCTACCTTGAACATGAATAAAGATGTGATGCATGGAATGGAGGCTGCCACTTTATAGTTATGAAAAAACAAACATGAGGACAAGAAGCCAACACAATAGGAATAATGAAATGAAAGTACCTTGGTCTTTTAAGGAACTTCTCCAAGCCTAGATCACCATTTCCAGATTTCTTTTTTTGGAATAACTGGATACTTTTATTGGATAAGCCACCATTACTGAGGTTTCCTACTGTAGCTGAACACACATCAACTGATATAACGGTTATGTATCACCGAATATCTAAGCCTGTTCCTAGAATGCCATGTTGAATTAAAGTAATTACACCTATGACCAAACACAGAGTATGAGTCAATACAGTTCACAAGAAGACAATATAAGAAAGGAGGTTGAATTAAACAGAGATGATGCTATAGGTTGGGTTAGTAAACTATGGTCCTTGGGCTGACTCTCACCAGCTGCTTATTTTCCTAAAGTTTAATTCAAACACAGCCATGCCCACTTGCTTAGGTACAGTAAGCTATACCTGCATTCCCATTACAACAGCAGAATCAAACAGATGTGACATAGACCTTATGGTCTTCAAAACCTAAAATAGCTACCACCTGGTCCTTTGTAGGAAAGGTTTGTTAACCCCTAGTTTTTAAATTCTTAGTACACTATTAAAAAGGTATGTCATTTCCTCAAACAGACATAGAAGTGTACAAAAAATGTGCTCATGTTTTTGAAAAGTTTTTTTTTTTTTTGTACTAACAGTTGTTGCAGGTGTTGCTAGTACATAGAAAGAAGAGTAAAATGCCAAGACTCATCTCATTTCTATCCATTTTTCTGGATAAACTTGGAATTGGGGAAATAAGAATGCCCTCACGTTAAATTATAAAACAGAGTACAGGAGAGTATAGGGACAGTCACCTTATTAAGAAAGAATAGCTCCCTGGCTGAGTCTCAACTAAGAACTACTTAATGAAAGGACTGGCCATCAAGGGTAGAGGGGATGAGAGTGGGAATTTAGTTAGAAGGGAAGCACAGAAAAGGAAGTATGACAAAGGCAAATTTGCATCTCTTTAACAGTATTTAGGGGAGAAACAGTATTTAGTTCACAAACGAGAGGGAATCCTACATAACAAGTATCTCCATATAATAAAGATAAATGACACCAATCATTAAGGTAATACATCTAACTCCCCTTGGTCTGATTCCATGATCACCAAGCAACCTTCTATTATTACTTTTCAGGTAGATTCCTTAGAGAAGAGAGTGTTTTCGAAGGGAAAGGAAGATCTGATGCTCCTGAGTTATGGTTCCTACTATCAATAACTACACTGACTTTCTGCTTTTTAATTTCCCATTCTCTTTGAGTTTGGTTTATCTGCCTGTACTGGAAAGCAATGGACTCCTTAAGATGTTAACAAGTTTTTAGAGTTTGCAAATCTGAGGGTGAAACTCTGGGATTTACCAAGGAAGTAGAGCCTCTAATTAGCCTTCCCTAGGAGATAACTTACCTTAAATACCCAACCAACTAATTCAAACTAGAACTAGAATTTTTTTTTTAAAAAAGAATTATTTATTTATTTATTTGACAGAGAAATCACAAGTAGGCAGAGAGGCAGGCAGAGAGAGACGGGGAAGCAGGCTCCCTGCTGGGCAGAGAGCCCCATGCAGGGCTCAATCCCAGGACCCTGAGATCACGACCTGAGCTGAAGGCAGAGGCTTAACCCACTGAGCCACCCAGGTGCCTTTAGAACTAGAATTTTAATTATACAAAGGTGGATCTTCATGATATATTTTTTAGTTCAAGTTCACTACAGTTTAGTTTTATTAATTATTTTGAAAATACACAAACTTAACGATTAAATATTAAAAGCTTACGGACATATCTTGAATGTTAAAATTACTTTCAGATAAAAGATACATATGCTCTTTATTATATAAACAAAAGTAATCTGACAACCTTTTTTCTCTTTTAGCACATTCTATTCCTACAACAAATATTCCTGACTACAAATAGTGTCACAGAAGTGTAAAAAATGTATTTTTCTTTCAAAGGTTGATCATTCTTGAACGCATTAACAACATACCCTGAAGGAAACTTTCATCAGTCTTTCAGTAAAACTTTATTTCAAGGTCATGTTAAAAGAAGGCACAGGAGGGGCGCCTGGGTGGCTCAGCTGGTTAAGTGTCTGCTTTCTGCTCAGGTCATGATCCTGGGGTCCTGGGATGGAGCCCCACATGAGGCTCCCTGCTCATCAGGGAGTCTGCTTCTTCCTTTCCCTCTGCTCCCGCTTGTGCTAGTGTGCACTCTCTCTCCAATAAATAAAATCTTTAAAAAATAAAGAGAAGGCACACTGAAGTTTCTTTTTGTTCCTTCAAATGGCCTTAAAGGGAAACTTGCTGTCCTGCTCTGCGGAATAATATGAGAAATATGAATGATATGGGAATGAGAAAAAAAAATGCTTTTTATAATGAGAAAAACAAAAAAGCCAGACAACTTCTTTATAGCTATCAACTGTTTCATTGTCCCTTGAAGAACTTTCACCCAACCTGATGGCATGAAAAGAATCATTATGCTATGTGATAGACTTTAATGCCATCTTACCTGGTATCCACATTTCTAAAGAAGCTGCTTAATGCCTCATCATAAATTCCTTTCTAAAAAGAAAAAAGTATATTTATAATATTTGATTAGTTTTACCTCTTTCCCAAATGAAATCCTTTCGATTTAATAATCTCACAATACTGTAATGGTTGGCATTTGGCTATGAGAACAACAGCAAAAATGCAAGTTATCATAAAGTGTTTAGACTGATTCTTCCTACCTAAAGAATAATGCCATAAAATCTATGGATTAAGTTTAGCTGAGGGTGCTGAAGAAAGGAGTCCCCACAGGACTGTAGAACAGGCGTGTCAAACGAAAGCTTTGTCTGGATTCCCGGTGATCATTTTCAAGCTGATTAAATTCAGGAATATAACATATATATAACATATACAATATAACACTACGCATGTTACCTAGTTTACGAGTACTTCCCCAATACTCTCTCATCGCTCTTCACAAGAATCCTGTTAAAAGTGAGACCCTGACAATCAGGGAGCCTTAAGACTAAGATCTTTGGCCATCGTTTGTTCTGTGTCTAACGCCCAAAAAACGTTTAAAAACCAGGTTGTTTTTTCCTGAGGAGATCCCATTCGCCTTATACTGGTCAGAGAAAAGATCAAATGGACTGATTCTTGCTTATTTGTTGGACGAGCCTCGATAAAAGGCGAGGGACGGTCTCCGGGCGGCGGGGCCGGTACCTGGTTGACCGCGGCATGCTCCCTCAGCGCCAGATCCCAGAAGCAGCAGCCGATCTGGTTTCCGCACTGGCCCACTGCGATAAGCGAGAAGAGCGAAAGAGAGTAGCCATTAGGTGGCAAACAAGGCCACTCGGTTGCGCGGTGACCGACTGCCCGCGCCCCCCCCCACAGCTTACCCTGTACGACCACCGACTGGGTCATACTCCGCCGCGTCCAGACGAAGGCACCAGGGAGCCCGCGCCCACTTTCGAACTCCCTTGCGAGCTCCGCCTACCAGCGGCACGCCTACAGGCGCCCGGCAGCCGTAAGTCACGCTGCTGCCGCAAGTCACTGCCGTCGCAACGCTCTTCTCTAGAATCAAGCTAAGTTTTTCCGTCAGAAGGCCGCGCAGGGGTACTTGCGTCCCACTGTTACCATAGCGAATGGGCCTCCGGACGGTAGATCCTGCTGCTTGCCAACATCTTTGAGCTTCGGCAGCTCCGGAAGCTGGGGTAACTGGCGGGTAATTAGGCCGTGGAGTGGGATTTTTAAATGTGTGTCTTTAAAAGTGTTTATGGCCTATGAGAGCCCTAGTTTTTGTTCAGTCTCGACACCCTGTGAGTTGGGTCAAATTCTGTTTAATCAGAGTCCTTGGGACGCTCAGCTTTCGAGCGTCTTTCCAGCAAGCCCTTTCTTCTAACAGAAAACAATGTCAACGAGCACACAGTAATCCCAGACAAATAGGGGTGTCAAGCTACAACCGAAACTAGGCAGTTGATAAACTTCGACATAAAAGCGCTTCAGAGACACAATCAGTGTTCGTGGAAGCTATATACTCCCGACATGAACTTTTAGGCCTTCCAGAGTATTCAAAAGAAGTCAAGACATGCATCCAGCCCCAAGAAGCCTATAATCTTAGATACACAGGAAATACTAAAACAATTTTTGTCTTACTCTATTGTTTGGTGCTGATTGTAAGTTCTGTAGGATTCAGTGGATGAGGATGTAGATCAGTAAACAAGTCTAGTGAAAGAGATGACATTAAAACTAGGCATTTGATTTATGTCAATTAGATGGAAGGAAGAAGACTAAGACTAAGACATTCCCGGAAATTACCAAGTACCAAAAATTTGTCAAGCATTGAAAAACACTCTAAACTGTTATTGATCAAGTTAGACCAGGCTTCAATTAAGAACTCCAGAACTTCTTCACTGAAATTAATAATTTCCACAAAATTGTGAGGAACTACAAAATCTTAGGATTTTGTAGGAAGCCAACTCCATTAAAAAAAAAAATAAAGTGTATGTGCAATTAGTGTGGGGTGATAGTAACCATAATATTTGATTGACTAGAACACCTTATTCCTCCACCAAGACAAATAATTTCTACATTCTCTGATAGCTGGTAAGTTTGAAGTTGTGATGGTTGGTTTATAGTGCTTAGGCTTTCCCACATTTCCATTTGGATGTTTTTAATTTTAGTATTTATATCCCTTGTGATTAACAGGTAACTTTTAATCCAGAATGTTTTGAAATTGCTAGATTTTACTCTTAACTGCTTATTAGTGAGCGTGGAGTCAGTGGTAGAGGTGTAGTTTGGAACCACCAATACCTCACTTCACGTCTTGATGTTGAAGTCCCAAAGCTTGGGGCTTCCCAAATTTGCAAAGTTTGGTCCAGTTTGTAGGCAGTGGTGTTAGTAGGTCTGTGCCAGTGAGTTATGGTGTCAGCTCATCTGGTGGTCTGGCTTCTGCAAGCTCAGTCTTTCATACAGTGGTGAGATCCAAGTCGTTAGTCCATGCAGGTCATACATGGGAACAAGTTAAATTAAGAAAGTCCTAACAGGCCTCGTTAATAACTTCAGTTTGGGGAGCATCAGAATGAGAGGCAATTCTGATTCAAAATCAAGGCAGAGCCTTGTATACTGGCCATTGCAGGACCTCAGTAGAAGCAGAAAAACTTTTTAGAGTTTATATTTTACAAGAACTCACACTGAAGTCATATATTTGAGCATAGCCTGGTGTCGAATACACTCCTCATTAGATGAGTCGATACCCCATTTAAGATATTCAGCAAACTCAGCAGGAAGAACCTAGGCCATCCTGGAGGGTTATACACAGCTCTAATGGAGTTATAATATACCTCCTTTGATACAGTGAAAAAAATATAACTTACCTTTCAAATTATAGCTGTAAGTAGGAGAATTGGTTTTAGAAATACAGAATTAGAAGCACAAAGAGGTAGATTAGAGAGCCAAAAATCAAATAACTGATGTTGATGAGAGGCTTGAGATAATCACAGAGAATATTGAGGCAAAGGACAAAGATATTAAAACTCTTAGAATATATGTGAAAGAAACAAAGATGGTTTGACATGAGATTAATAAGTGCCCCTAAAATAGAGAACACAGCAAATGGAAAAAGAAATGTCCTTACTGATAAAGAAAATCTATAGATTAAAAGGATACAGGATTAAGAATTATAGGAAGAGTATTAAGAGTATGCTTATCATGATGAATACTGAGTAATGTATAGAAATGTTGAATGTATTATACATCTGAAGCTAATATAACACTGTATGTTAATTATACTTCAATTTAAAAAGCATATATCATGTTCCATAGAAAAGTTTCTATAGAACAGTCAACACTAAGATATATCCTGGTTAAGTTACTCAATTTTCAGAATTAAAGAATTCTGTGGGTACCCAGGCAAGAAACAAATGCAACAGCGTGGGGTGGGGGGAATTTTGGAGAAAAAACAATAAGGGTTTCTTAGACTCACCTATAGCGCATTCAGTACTGGAAGACACTGAAAATATATTACAAAGTTCTGAGGGGGAATAAAATGTGTTCCAGGAAAGTTATACTCCTTTGACTTTCCAGGTTGTCACTTGAATATAATTAGAATTTGAGGGGGCTCTATCCATTTTTATTCCTGTTGGCACACTGCATTTCTGAGCCCATCTCTCTTTAATAAAACTTGACAAACATAACCATAGCAACCAATGTTTTACCAGCATTGTCTTCTAACTTCTTCCCCTTGAATTCAAGTTCATTAGTAAGTAATCCATCTTCTAGGTTATCACAAGAGTTTTGCAAAGGTTTTTCCCAATACATTTGCCATTAATAACATAAATAACTATCCTTTCAGCTTCCAGCAACAGTTTAACTATTTGCCCCATCCTCAACTGCCTGACCACTATGCTAGTGACTTATATTTTAGATTTTTGTTATGGCAGTTATTAAATCTGGACCTAAGTCTTTATAAGTCATGATAAATTTTGCTAAGTTGTGGTAACAACGAGCCCCTAAATGTCAGTGGTGTAAAACAATAAAGGTTTATATTTTTGCACAAGATCCATGTCTTTTGGGAGGTTGCTGTGGTTGCTTTATGTTTACCTCACTCGGGCACCCAGATTGCTAAACTACCACTGTTTGGTACATTCTTGTCTTTCTGGCAGAAGGAAAGACAACTCAGGAGGATCTTGCACTGCATTTAATGGCTGTTGTTAACGCACTGGCCAAACCTAGTCACATGAGCTCTGAGTAATCATAGGGGGGCAGGAATTGCAATTTCCAGAAGGCAGAAAGCCAGAAATATTTGATGAACAACATTTATAACATAACAAGCACTCTCATACATGATATCAGAATACAGTATTCCCTCTCCTTGAGTATGGACTAGACCTATTAACTTCTTTCTGATGAATAGAGCTCAAACAACACAACAGCCAATCTGAGTTGGGGAGACAGAACTGAAAATTCTGTGGGACCAAGGCAGCTAGAATTTTCAGAGCAGAGTGCCAGAGGGTGAGTATATAGAGAAAGCTCTGGAGATCTTCAGGGAATTTCTCTGAGCCTTAAACTGAGTACCGATCAGTATATGCATGTGGGGAAATTACCCAAGACTAAGGAATGAACCACTGGGAAGAAGGAGGCAGAACAATTTTGGGGGTTCACACAAGGCTGGAACTAGTTTACATTCCCAGTATTTTTAGTGGAAGAGCCCTTTAATATCTGGGGGTGTTGAGTACAGTAAGGATATTGCCTCAGTAGTGGAGAGACATTAGCCATAGATGAATGGCTTTTCTGATCTAGACTAGGAAAGCACAAAATCAAGCCTCCAAAGGGCCACGCTATATCCAAGTAGCTGTGTCCCAGATCAAAACTTGAAAGTGCTTAGAGGACTAAAATAAAACCCAGCATTAAACATCATAAAGTTTCCAATGTCTGCCATCAGATGAAAAATTGCAGGATAGGTGAAGATGTAGAAAACACTCCAAGTGAGGTTAAAAAGAAATCAGTAAAAGCAAACCAAGAGATGGCACAAATGAAAGAATTAGTAGACGAGGACATTAAAATAACATAATTATACTTCATATGTTCAAGAAGGCAGAAGGAAGCATAGCTTGGAAAGATTAAGAAGAGACAAATTATAAAAGACCCAAGTCAGACATCTAGAGATAAAAAAGAATTCAATGTCTAAGATGAAAAGTACACTGGATGGAATTAAGAACAGATTAGACATTGCAAATGAAGAGAGTAGTGAACTTAAAGATTTCAACAGTAGGAACTACCCAAAATAGAACCAAATGAGAACAAAAAAGGATCAGTGAGCTATGGGACAACTTCAGACAGCTTTATATATCATAATTGGAGTTCCAGAAGGAGGAAACAAAAACATACTTGAAGAGATGATGTCTGAAAAGTTTTCACATGTGATAAAAACTATGACCCCACAGACCTAAGAAGCTCAATGAAACTTTAGACACAGGAAACAGGAATAAAACTATACCAAGCACCTTCTAATCAAATTAATACCAGTGACTAAAGAAAATCTTAAAAGCACTCAGAGGAAAAAAACAAAAGATACACTACATGTAAAAAAACAAAGTTAAGAATAAAAGAAGACTTAGAAACAATTCAAGTCAGAAAACTGGAGCAAAATCTTTAAGTACTTAAAAAAAGGCCCGCAAGGGACGCCTGGGTGGCTCAGTTGGTTGGACAACTGCCTTCAGCTCAGGTCATGATCCTGGAGTCCTGGGATCGAGTCCCACATCGGGCTCCCAGCTCCATGGGGAGTCTGCTTCTCCCTCTGACCTTCTCCTCGCTCATGCTCTCTCTCACTGTCTCTCTCTCAAATTAAAAAAAAAAAAAAAAAAAAAAAGCCCACAAAACAAAACTGTTGACAGGATTATATACTCAGCAAAAATATTGTTCAA